GTTAAGAGATTTTCCTCTTTTGTTCTTTGATTTTTATGTAATCTGTCTTTAGTATTAATGAAATGTGCAGTTATTGGTAAAAAAATAATTTTCCTTTGCAAACATGAAGCCTAATGTACAGAGTCTCATTTGGTGGGAGTAGAGAACTAGAGATCAAGGGGGACTGGGCATTGGAAATATAAAAGTAAGAAACTTAGCCTTGTAGGGGAAGTGGTTATGGATACTACCTCTACCTCTGGAGTAGGATAGTTTGTGGTACAAGGTGATAGTTAACATACATGGTTTGGCAGCTAATGAATGGGATGCTGGTCTCAACCCTAGGATGTATTGGCCCTCTCCTTGGAAAGCTGTTTGGGTAACAAAGTGCTTTTTTGGGATGATGTTTGGCTTGGGGAAACCTCTGTTAAGGACTATCTATTCCCCATTTATTAAATAAGTTCAAAGTCATTTCCTCTATCTGTGTTAATGGGGATTCTTGAGACTTGGGGCTGAGAGGACTGAGGGAAACTGAAATGAGTGCTGCTGATGAACTCATTTCTCTACTAAACACAGTGTTTTTGGATTATTCTTAGTTGGATAATAGAATTTGGCCAGTCCCCCTTCAAGTTCTTTGACTTGTTCTTTCCTCAATGTTCTTCTTTTAGGTAACCTAGTAGGGTCCTTTCCAGTGAATGAAGTGTGGTGCAATCTTGTGCCTCCAAAGATTTGGGCCTTCTGCTAGGAGGTGGCTCTTTAAAAAATCAACATCATGGATGTGCTTCAAAAAAGAAGGCGAAATTGGTGTCTTTCACCCAATGATTTAAAAGGCGCGCCTAGGTGCACAGGCGAGAAGCATTTTGGAGTATGCGCCTCACCCAGGTCCTAGGCACACCCCTTTCCAAAGGCGCATGCCTGGTGTGCCTAGGCGTGCGCCTGATGCGCCTTGCGCCTCAGCCCAGGTGTGTGCCTTTTTAAATTTTTGTGCTTTTTTGCTAATGTTGTTCATTCATTCATTGCAATAAAATATCTTCTTAAAAGGCAATGAAAGTTATAAAGTCATTATTTTTTTATGTGAGAAATAAGAATTTCAGACCCTAACTTAGACTTGTTCGGGCTTGCCTCGAGGGGCGTGGTACAAAGGCGACTCATAGAATCAAGAATGCAATATTTTTTACATCACATTAGCTACTTGAAGCAATGCAATTAAGGAGAAAAAGAGATTGTGGGTTTTACATACTTGAAAATGCTTTATATGTTTGCTTTTATTTTTGAATTTTCATTTGAATAGGCTTTACATGTTATGTTTATGTATTTTAATTTTAGATAATAGGTTTTTTAAAACATTTATTTTAAAATTTAAGTTTCTGTTTTTATTAACATTATGCTTAATATTTTTTGAATTTTTGCATTTTTAAAAATTTTTGGCAGTTTTGTTTTTGGATTTTCTGACATTTTTTTATTGTTTACCTTTTTTTTTTTTGTAATTTTGCGCCTTTCTTAAAAAGGCGCACACCTCGCCTTGCGCCTCAGGTGCAAATTGGACCTTGCGCTTTTTTTGCGCCTTGCACTTTTAAAACACTGCTTTCACCTCATATTTGTAACCTTTGCTTGGGTTGTGGTGAAACAGGAATATACCTATTAATCTCCTGTTTTTTTGTGTCTTATTTTTGGGATTAGTTCTCCTCTTTCTTTGGTTGTAGATGGACACATCTCATAGATATGGTGAGCTTTTTGACTCAAGCTTCTTTAGACAACTGAAGAAGAGGGGAAGAATAATGTGGAGAATTACAAGAGCAGCTATTTTGTGGTCAGTTTGGGAAGAAAGAAAAAACAGAATTTTTCAAGGACAGGAAAAATCCAAAGGTAGTTATTGAAGGCATGACCATCAAGGTTGTACATTGGTTGAAAACACTTGATTTATTCAAGGATTTTTCAGTTGATTACATAACTAGAGGTTGGACTGCAGTTGCTGGCTTGTCGTCCTCAAAACCTGCTTTTCAAGAAAGTTGTCTTTGTCTCCCATTGGAATGGCAAAGGGTGAAATTAAATATTGATGGAAGTTCCGTTGGAAATCCAAGTCCTTCTGGTCTTAGGGGTGTGTTAAGACGTGAAGAAGGAAGAATATTGGCTCTATTTTCAGGACCAATAGGGGTGAGTGATTCACTAAGAGCCAAAGCATTGGCCCTACTCCAAGGATTGAGATTGGCTAAGCAGGTAGGTGTACAACAAATTTAGGTGGAGGGGGTTCCAAGTTGATAATAGGGTGGATGCAAACAAACAACTTGGGAATCTGGACCCTTAGGTTATAGGAGAAATCAGGTGCCTGGCAAGGGAGATTGGGGTATCTCTAGCAAAGCGAGGGGTTACCAGGGTGGAACTGTTCTGGGCCTGGTTGTAATTTTGAGATACTTTGAGGGATCAACATCCTTTCATTGGGTGGTTGATCGTTGTGCTTTTTATGTTAATTTAATGAAAGTTATCATTCCTAAGGAGAAAATGGTAGTTCAAATCTGTTACTTTTAGCATTTCAAATAAAACATTATAATCCATATCTATTCCACTATAAGAAGTGGGAATGGACCTTAAGTGTTTTTAGACTTTTGCTTGACCAAAATACTCTTATTTCTGAATTTGGCTCTTCTCTATTTTGAACTACTACTTTTCAATTCATCCTACCCTCTCTCTCATAACTCTTATATTTAATGTGTTAATTCCCATTCTTTCTCATTAACTCCTATATTTAAAGCTTTTATTTTTCTCACCATTAAATTCCACTAAGAAACTCTATATCCTATAAATTTAATGGTATAAAAACCAACCCAGAAGTGAAGTTGTTTTTCAGTCCGGGTGGTGGGTCAGCAGTCCAACCATTTGAGTCAAATGAATCAACCCATGATGTCATAATTAAATACTATAAATTAAAATAGATAAAATACAAACATAAAAAATATAAACAAGTTATAGAAAATTTTGGTGCTAATCTAATTTATATACTCACTATATTAAACAAAGTGTGATAAATGATAATTACCTTATCTTTAAAAAAAGAATTAATATCTAACCTAACCTTGCCAATTGGGTTAAACAGTTCATCATTAAGTTGTTGACCAAATCAACATATTTTTGTAGAGCAAGCTGTTTGGTGGTGAAATGGACCTAGATCCTAGTTGGTGACAAGTCGTCCAGTCTGATCATTTGATTTGATCATGGGTTGAAATGACATAAAAAACAATGTTTAAAAAATAATTGGATCTACATTTCCCTAGGTGGCAGGTTAGCTATTCAGCCATCTGGGTCAAACAAGTCAAAACTGTGATGTCATAAATTAAATAATAAAAATAGAGAACATATAGAAAATATAGAAAATTCCATAAAATTTGTAGAAAATTGGGCATGTCTCGAGTATAATATATTTTTCATATTTAACAAAATTATGTATAGGAAATAAAAGTTATAGTTATTAATGATGGAAATGGCTAAAATACAAAAAGAAGAGAATTAATGTCTAACTTGTGATCCAATGAGGGTTAGAACAATTGCATGTAAAGTGATTATTAACTACAAAAAGAGGGTTATAATTTTATATTAATAAAAATTTTTGGTAAGAGTGTAACTGAAAGAGAAAAAGAAGGGTTGGAGCCTCTTTTCTATTTAATGCAAGAGGGTAATTATAGAAAAAAGTAGAAACAATTTTTTTATCATTCACTCATTCTTTTTCTCTTCTGGGAACACTTTTGTCTTTTATGTTTCTATATTAAAATCCTAAAACAAAGCACAAGTAATATGAGAGGATGCATTAATACCAATGTTTTAAAATATGGACGTGTGACGTGAGGCGTTCCACTACCTAGAGGCGCGTTCAGAACGTACCTCCCGAACACACCTTAAGAGGATGGGGATGAGGTGGAAGGAGGAGGCTCGCCTGGAGGCACACCTCCAGGTGTATGCCACCCACACCTTTTAAAACACTGATTAATACACATGAAATTGCTATTGGGTCTTTGGACCTAGGGGGCAGACCTGACAAACTAAAGCTGACCTGACCCTATTATGGTTATGCATTACATGTCCGGATTACAATTGGATCTTTATTAGCTTTGGTTGCTCCAAACCAATTAGGGCTCAAACTGACTATCTGTATAATTGTATTTATAATTACACATATCAATAATATGTGTGTGTGTGTATATATATATATATATATTGGCATATTACAAAGATACCCCCAGTCTAATACCTATTTTTCTCATGATATACTTGTAATATTATCATGTTAGAATGTCCAAATGTGTCAATTTAATAATAAGTAGGTTTATTGCCAAATTACAGGTTAAGAGTATAGTCAATTAGTCTTATCAGGTCCGACCTGACAGTCCCAACAACAGACTATAGGGTTTGGTTCAAAACTGGTTTTGCACATTTACTTATCAGGTTGGGACCTGGTCTACCCTGACCTGACCTGACCTGAGCCATTGACCACACAATTTGGATATGTATACTTTGCATACGTTTTTGTTTTGTTAACAAAAAATTTTATTTTACTATAAAAGAATCCATTGCTTGCAAAAATTTGAAGTTGCAATTGCTTTGACCTTTATTACCTGCATTTGTGACCTGGAAGAAAAACTATTTTGCTAGAATTGGCTATCTCAAGTTGCAATAGCAATTGCATTGACCTTTTCAGAATTTACAGTTTCTCCACATGAAGTTAGCTGGCTTCAGTATGAAACATGGAATTTCTTCTATTCAGTTCCACAAACATTCTGTATGAAACATAGAATGGAAATATCTTCAGTCTTTTCAGTCCAGCTCTCCGCATGAAATTAGCTGTCTTTTATTACCTTTTGAAACATGGAAATTTGTTCAATTCAGTTCCACTAGCATTCAATATGAAACATAGAAGAATAGGAATATCTTCAGTCTTTTCAGTCCAGCTCTCCACATGAAATTAATTGTCTTTTATTACCTTTTGAACTGGAAAAGTTAAGGTAACATTCAAACTCTTTATGTAATGCTTGCAGAATCTTCTGTACAGAAGCCTTGCCCCCGATATGTTCATTGGAGTGATGATACCCTTGAGAGGGACCTGTACATTCAGACTAATACTGTTTCTGTTTTAGCAATGGATGGTAGAAGGCGGTGGATGGACATACATAAACTGGTAGGCTTGCTGAATCTGTTATCATCATCTTCATTCTATAGTTCTATTGTATTATATTATCTTATCATTATCGTTGTTATTATGGATGCTTAAAACACCATTAATTTCTCTTTTGTCAGTTATTGCTCTTAAGATATTTCCTTCATGTTTAATTCACTGCTTGGTCAGCTATTCAGGATTTTGCATCAAATGTGCATACAATCTGATTTCTGATATATTTGTTTGTAATGCTTTTGTGTATGGACTGCTAGCCAATATTTTGTAGTTAACAGTTTGACCTGTGTGTTTTAGGGGTCAAATGGAAAAAGCCATTTTATGTTTGTTACAAATCTTGCTCCATGTTCTGGTGTTAGACTTCATCTCTGGCCTGAGAAGGGAAAAAGTGCTTCTGACGTGCCACCAAGTGAAAGAGTTTTAGAGGTGACATCCAAGATGGTGAATATTCCTGCAGGACCAGCACCAAGGCAGGTACTAGACATTGTTGTAAATTAGTTTGTTGTTCGTAAAAGGTGGTCAGGCACTAAGCTTAATATGAATTGCTTTTAACATATATTCCTATCTGTACAACTTCTTTTGCTGGTTTATTCTATTTTTTCTTTATATGAAATGGTATTAAGTTATAGTATCTTATACCATGCTGTTATAGTACCAATAACAGTGAAGGTTTGTAGGCCGAAAGCTTTAGGGGGTTTGGGTTTCAAAAGGATAAAATTATTCAATAAAGCTTTGATGGGGAAGTGGTTATGGAGGTTTGGGCTAGAAAAGGAAAGAGAATCATTATGGAGAAGAGTGGTGGCAGGGAAGTACAGGGTGGTGAGATTAGGGTGGGAACCAAGGGAGGTATCCAATTCCTATGGGGTGGGTGTGTGGAAGGGGATAATGAGCTTTAACCAGGATTTCAGAGGGCTGGTCATCTTTAATGTAGGGGCTGGATCTAGAGTGAGGTTTTGGGAAAATGAATGGAGCGGGGTTGGGAAGTTATGTGATGTGTGCCCAAGATTGTACAGGCTGACAGATCATCAGGTTACAGTGGTTCAATGCTATGAAGTTAGAGGTGACAAGGTGGTTTGGAGCCCCAAGTTTAGAAGACCTTTGCGGGATCAAGAGCTGGAGGAATGTGTTATGTTATTGAATAGATTGGAGCAGATCAATATTTCTACTGCGTGTGAAGATGGCCAGTGGTGGAAGGAGTGCAGGAATGGGAAATTTACAGTGAAATCATTTTACATGGCCCTTGTTAAGGATTGGGTAGTTAGTGATCGACTGTGTGGAGTTTGGGGAAATCCAGTTCCACCAAGAATTGAAGCTTTTGCATGGTTGGTTGCAATGGATAGTATCCTCACATCAGATCACCTAAAAAGAAGAGGGTTTTGCTTGGCTAGCTACTGCTACATGTGCAAGCTGGAGGAGGAAACTGTTCACCATTTGTTTTTTTCCTGCCACTTAGCAAACTTCATTTGGGGTTTCTATTGCTTCCTGTTTGGGATGCCCATTTTTCAGTCTTCATCCTCAGCAGAAATCTTTTCCTTATGGCCAAAATTCAGAGGAAGATTGAAGGCTAAAATTGTCTGGAGCTGCATTCCTTTTGCAGCATGTTGGACTCTGTGGGGGGAAAGAAATAGGATGCTGTTTGAAGGAAAGGAAAGGAGCACTGAAGTGATTGTGGCTTCAGTTGGCAAACTCATCACGAGCTGGGTTTTGTCTCCCAGAATTTGAACAATCTACTCCCTCAGATTTTGTGGATAATTTCTGGAATACCTTAGAGATTCAATTTCAAAGCTGTAATATGAATCAGTTTAGTCTAAACTGAAACTCTTGATGTATGTTTTTGCTTTGAGATAGGTGTCATCTTGACACCTGAACAGCTTGTATCCGTTTTTCTTATTAATAAAATTTTATATTTACTTTTCAAAAAAATAGTACCAATAACAGTGAAACGTTGTGGAAATACAGACATGCTATGTGGGAAATCAGGCAGTTAAGGGAGATGAATGTGATGTTTCAGTGGGTTAAAAGATAATCTAATGGTTTGGCTGATGCATTGGCCAAACATGGGTCCATAGGGTACAATTGTACTCGGCACTATGGTAAAAGAAATTAGAGGGTTGGGTTCTAGTTGGCCCCTAAAGGGATGCTATGGCATTTTGTATGGTATGTTCTTTTTGAGAATGCATAAAATTTACAGTTACTAATAAAAAAAGTTATCGTATATTATAACTTAGATGAGAAGTAATTTTTATCTATAAAATATAGTCTAAGGYCATAAACTGTTCCTATGATTTAATGGATTTAACTATAGATGTAATTTTTGGTGAACATACTAATACCTTCGTTGTATAGTGTAAGAAATCCATATCAGATCATATGGGCCTAAGAAAGTAATCTGACTTGTCCTAATAAATGAATGATTGCATGTAAAATTCCTCCTAATTTGGCTGCAGATAGATGTATACATGGCTCTGATGTAATCAACAAGGGATGCCCACTCTCGACTTGGTACAGACCAAAGATGAGAAGGAAATAATACAAATATAAAGAGGAAAAAGTAAATGGAGAGAAAATAGGAGATCAAAATTGTAAAGGATATGAAATTGGAAATAGGGGTTCTTTTAATTCTTGATGGTTCTTATCAATAGGAATCTTTGGATGGAATTTAGGATCTATGAACTTCGAATGGACATCAGAGCCTCAGGCTCCTAAGTGCCAAATGGAAATGATGCAGAAGAAAGTTTTAGCATAGGTGGATAATAAGTTAGGCTGGTTAGCAACAAAGATTCAGCCTTTTTCCCCCCTCCCTACATGTTGAATAGTTTATAAACTCTTAAAGAGATCTTGGACCTTCATTTATGGAGTGCAGTGTTCCATACATTCAATGAAAGAAAATGACATATCAGGTAAACTTGAAACAAAATTCAAGTGCATGTTAAGACAACAACACTATTGCATAAAGAACCTTGTGAAATAGAAGGACATAATATTTAAAAAGAATTTAAAATCTACCTTTTGATTTTAAGAGAAGCGGAACTGTAGGTAGGAGTGCCTTGACGGAGATTAGGGATAGAAAGGGAGATAGATGGATATGGGCGATGAAGTGAATGCATAGTTTGATAATGGTGGCAAGAAGAGGATTGTTGGTAGTTCAGGAGTGAGCTTCGACATTTGCTTGCCTGCTTTGGAGACTGGGGGTGTTTTAGGTGAAGGGCAAGAAAGAAATAGCACGGATGGGATTTACGTCTCCTCCAAGTCTGTGGACTCTGTTACTGCCAACTGTGGTAGTGAAAACGCAGGGCTTCTGACTTTGGACAAGGATGTTTCAGTTGGTCCAGAGAGGATGGAAGGCGGGGGGGGGGGGGAGGAAGTTGGAAAAAGGAGTAGCAGTGACGAGGCTGAGGTTGCAAATAAAGACAAGGAGGCTTCAGGTGCCAGGAAAGTCACCGGTGAACAGGCTGACTACGTAGGGAATGTACCACGCTTCGAAGAGGTGAGGATCGGAAAGGTTGGGTGTAGATTTGGGTCATAGAAATAACCCTGAAGAGATAGAAGGGGAACAAATTGCTGGGACAGGCAGTAGGAAACTGTGCAGCTCAAGAAATCAAAATATTGTGCACGTCATAAAGATTTTCTCTAGGCTTAAACTCGGCTTGGCAAGGGTAGGACCTACAAAAAAATTACAAATGGATCTACAGGAGGAAAAGTTTTTAGAGGAAACAGGACACCTGCCTCTGATCGTAGGGGGACATTGACGCAAGTGCAGCCTTCGGTCTTTCTCTCTCAGAGAAAGAACAACAGGAAGACAAGTTAAGTGGTGTGGGTCCTGAGCCTGATATGAACTGTTTGCAGAAAAATAATGGTGAAAATAAGGGGGATTTAGGTGAAGTGAGTATCCAAAAACTAAAGGAAAGAGAGGTTACCATTGGTAAAATCCTGGGTTTGTGCTTTTGGTGTGGTGAGGAGTTTGCGAGAAGTGCTTTGAGGAATTCGAAAGAAAAAAAAGGAAGAGAAGTTCAAGAAAGCCTGTTGGGAAGGAGCTAAGTCGTTGGATGAGGGATTTTCAGACCAGGAAGATCCATTCACAGATGAAGACTGAAGGCTTGGTTGGGCAGGGGTTTAGATCAGGGTCAGTGGTTGGGTTAAGGGCCTTTGTATTTTTGGGTTTCTCTTGTTGGGAGACTTTGCTTTGATCTTAGCTTGGATTGGGAGGGGTTACCTCATGCTTGTAAAGCGTGAGGCTTGCGGGTCTGTTTGGGGTCTGTTTCTCTTGTTGGGGGACTTTGCTTTGATCTTAGCTTGGATTGGGAGGGGTTACCTCATGTTTGTAAAGTGTGAGGTTTGCGGGTCTGTTTGGGGGTCTTGAGGCTGTTTTCTTCTGGTGATGCCTTATCACCTCTCTGTTGTATTTATTTTTTTTCTTTATCCTTCAAAAAAAAAAAGATTCTCTCATTGCTTGTGCTTATTGCTGATCTTCTTGGTATTCTGCTTATTGACCAGATTGAACCAGGTAGCCAAACTGAACAAGCACCTCCATCTGCTGTATTTTGGTTAGGTCCTGAGGATATGCGTGGTTTCAGATTCCTGACCATCTCAGTTGCACCTCGTCCGGTACAGTTTTCTTTAATATTCTTTATGAGTCTTTGATATTAATCTTTGTCATTGTAGTAAGTAGTGTGTGCCAGCACTTATAAGCCTTTTGTTGTAAACTTTTTGAAGATTGTGAATTTGTTCCTCAATTTTCTATTCTGATCTGATTGAAAGAAACATCTCACTTTGTATACTTAGTGATTTATTGTTGACATTCATGGTAGAGCCCTCAATGATTATGGAAATTTCTGGCACATTTCCTTACTAAAATTTGTTGAAATTTGGATCGATGAAAAATTGATTCATCTCTTTTATAGACTTTATTATTTACATGTCAACCTGCCTTCCCTAGAATTATTTAATGTTGCTATTTTCTTGGTGAATGTGATGATCATCATCTTGCCTTTTTAGAAGTGATTTAAGTTGAGGAATGTACATGTGACATGGCCTTTTTCTGCTCAGACTGTCTCAGGTAGGCCCCCGCCAGCAGCTTCAATGGGAGTTGGACAGTTCTTTAATCCAGAGGAAGGGGAGATAGAATTCTCTCCTTTGTCATTGCTACTTTCACCTTATGCTCAAGAGGTTAATATTTTCAAGAACTAATCAGTTTGTTTGCTGGGATGTAAAATTTTGTAAGCATACGATGTAATCAGTATGTTTTAGTTTCACTTGTTACCCATATGAGGACCATATTTTCCTCATTGCATGCTTTGGATTTCATGCAGGAAATACTATTGAAGGAGGATCATCCTCTTGTGTTGAATCTATCGTTCTCTATAAGCTTAGGCCTTTTGCCTATTACTTTGTCTGTAAAAACAGCAGGCTGTGGAATCAAAAATTCTGGGCTCCCTGTTGAAGAAGCTGGAGATGTGGAGCATAGCAGTAAGAATTTCTTGTTTATTTTTCTTTTCTGCTTATCTGTTTCATGGACAACTATCAAAATTAACCAAAAGGCATGTATATTCTCATACTTGAAGTTGAAATGGGAGAATTGGGGCACTGGAAGTATCTCATTGGACTATAAGTTCATAGCATTATTTTGGAAATTCCTGATCATACATTAATAAGCAATGCTAGTATCTCCTTGATCAATTAAGGCCAGAGTAATTTTATTTCCAAAGATCTTTTTTTTTTTTTTTTTTTTTGTGTGGAAACTGCAGTGATCAAGCAATGCTAGAACCTATCACTTTTTCTTGTTTTTAATTTCAATGCTCATAATCTCATGCTAACTTATCCATAAGTTAATGTATGATTGAAAGAATTGTAAGGGGGTGGGTTTTCTAAAGGAGTTATCTAGTAAAGATTAGAGAAATCTTGGCAACCTTGGAATTGTCTATGTATCCAACGATATTCCAATAAGGTGGGCAATAAGACTGCTAGTCGCCTAGTCCACATATCCACAGTATTGTACCCAACTTATGTTGTAGTACCATCTCTTGTTCTCCACATTAATTTTAACTGGGGAGTATATTGATTCTAGTAAAATTAAGTGTTGGTACCCATGGAATTGGAAATATGTCGTGGAAATATTAAGAAATATATGGACATTTTAAACCATGGTTTTGCTTGAGCAGATCTATCATGTGACAAAAGGTCCTTCTTTCTATGGACATTTTTTTATTAAAATTAGAAATTTGGGTCTATTATCCTATTAGACAATGACCTAATAATGGAGTCATAAACCGATGTAAACTGGGAAGGTGAAGAAAAGGCCAATCCAGAGGGCTTTCTATCTGATGAATTGTTTGAATTTGCCATATCATCCCTCCACATGGTTGTTGTAAGTGAGATCATCTAGGGAAGAATTCTATGCGCCATTGTGGTCCATTTACAGGGAAAGGCTTTCTAAATGGACCCTTAAGAATTGTCCATTTAAAAAAGTCCACATAAAGAAGGATCAAGTGGTTTTTCCTATCTTCCATTTGGATTCATTTATAATTAGATGTTTTTGTTTTGATTGATGATAATTAGATGTTCCTTCACCTCATTTTTATGTACCAAAGGCATGTTAGTTGTGGTACTTTTCACTCATAAAGTAAGTGTTGATTCATATTGCTAAACAACTGAAATTCCATCTTCCTAGATGGTTTCTTGTCTTCTGTATCATTCTCATATAGGACTTGTTTAATTAATTTAATTTTTTCTTTAGTTTTTATGAAGGATTGAATTTTTCCTAAAAAAAATGCTGATTTTATTTTCACCAACTGATGCTTACCTTTCAAAAGATTGGACAATGCTCGTTTTCTTTACCTATTTACTTCACATCTTGTATCTCAGGGCTTTGCAAACTGCGTTGTTTCCCACCTGTTGCCATTGCTTGGGATACTATATCAGGCCTTCAAATAATTCCAAATTTGTATTCTGAAACAATTATGGTTGATTCTGCACCAGCACTTTGGGATTCAACTCAAGGGTCAGATAAGACCACACTTTTGTTACTGGTATGATGCCAAGTTATTGGTTATTCATCAGACTATGTACTTGTATCAAATCAATAGGGATTCTATCAATGTCTTTGCAATTTCAGTCCATTAAATTCTTTAAATTTTGTGTTCTTGTGCAGGTAGATCCACATTGCTCGTATAAGATTAGTGCTATTGTCTCTGTCACTGCTGCTGCCAGTAGATTTTTTCTCTTATACTGTTCACAGGTGATCATTTATAGGGTTTGTTGTGTATACTGAGGGTTTCTTTTATTTTGAACTGGTAGGTTTTCAAAAACTGTTAGATTTTCGTAACTTACAATTTTCTTTCCAGTGAGCAATCATCTATGTGGACTCAGAGTCATGCTATTGACTGGGAGAGGAAAATGTGATTTTCATTATCTGTTCAAACATATTTATTGCATGCAACATTGGTGATGATGATGATGCATGCTAACACATGTTCATTCCCTTAAGTGATTGGCAATTAGTGCACAAATATCCTTGTTTGAGATTCATTGACTCATGCCCTCCAACTGCTTCTTTTTTTTTTTTATCAATAACAAGAAACTTTATTAAAGATATGAAACTGTGTGAAGCTTAGGTACAAAGGGGAGGTAAAAAGACTTATCTCCCCACCAAAGAATACAAGGAAAATTAAAAAAATTAGCCCAAAAAGTCGAAACCCTATCCACCCCTTGCTTTGCTAACCCATCAACAAAAGAATTAGCAGTCCTTTTCACCCAGTTGTAATGAACCACAATATCCCTACTCAGCCAGTTAAATTTATTCTTCTCATTGTTATAACTCCATAATCCGCTGCCTCCCCCCTTTAGCCACCTAAT